AGTGTGCTCTTCGAGGATTTTCACGTATGGCTTCACAAGGCTCAGCAGATCAAGCTTTTCAGATAGGGTGAAATTGGAAGACCTAGCCTTTCCTACCATTGTTCTTTGGAAATTAAGTAGGCAGTTTCTGAATCCACCATGCAGCCTTCAGCTCTGCTCAGCTCTTTCCACAAACAGAAAGATCAGGCTTAACTAGGCTAGCCCTATTTAGGCCCACGCCTACAGGGGAGGGCTTATTAAAATTCCTCCAGCTTAAGCTGACGCAGGTTCAGGAAAGCTGCTTAAGCCAAGCCTGACCTACATAAAGCTTCTCACAGAAGGCAGGAAAGCACAAGCAAAACACTTGTGTGTAAAGAGAGCAGCTCGAGACAGGATTTAATGCACAAAGGTCTAGAGATAAGCATGAAACACAGCTTAAAATGAGCTGATTTGGTGAGACTATCAAATGTCCACACATGTATGCCCGGCTGATGGGCTGAAACAGCGCTGCGGTATCACTTTAATAAAACAAAAGAGGAACTGTTTTGTGCTGTTTGTTTACAAATCTAGTAGATGGGGAGCTAGAAGACACTAGGGTGACTGTAGTGATTCCCAGCAGAGCTCTAATCACTGTTTCTGAGCTGGGTGTTCTTCCTTACAAAATCTGCATACTGCTGGTCCTGCTGTCAATCAGGAATTGCATATCCTCTAGCTAGTTAGGTTACACCAGCACAGACTGCAGTAAAGCTGAGTTTCCCCTCACTTCAGGGTACACACCCTCTGCATAACAGTTATTCAAGGAGAAACTTTTATTGAACACTAGATGTAAAAATCAGATGAAAATGCGTGTTATTATTCCACCGGTAATGTATATAAATTACTAGTCTGTTTTATGTGTAAAAATTATAGTGAGAAACAGCATAACCATGTCTTGGATAGGAGTGTACAAACCAAACCGTATTTCTATTAAAGCAAGATATTTTTGTTAGCATACAACTTGGACTATGGAAAGAAACAATCTAGCCAGTAGTTTTTATGTTTAATCCTAGTTTGAAACATACGATAATCATAAAAACAAAGCAAACTTATTTTCTCATGACATATTTGTCCAGATAGAGGAGTTACTTGACGTATACATGAAAGACTTGTGGTTAGCTCAGTGGGATAGCAAGTGATTAACGTGCATGAGGCCTTAGGTTTAATCCCCAGAGTCGGGGCCCAGAGAAATGGCTCTGGTTCATCCTGACTTAAGGTCGGAGAGTTCAAACCCACTATTGCTCCTCCAAGGGGAAATAACAAAGATGCCTGGCCTAAGATGTGAATGCAACAGGGTGTTTGGCATAATATTTAGTCGATGCAAGTCCTGCCTAAACAACAGAATGCTTTACTCAGGATGTAGTTACTTGATGTTTCAGGTATTAAAGAGGTGATCACTCTGTGTCATTGGGAAGGAAGTCTTTTGTCTCCTCCCCCTCTTTTGATGGGGGTATAAAAGATCTTTGAACAATAAACTTGGGCTGATCCTGGTGTGTACCAGGTGTCCCCCAGCTTCATCTCTTTAACCAAGAAGCAAATAAAACTTACTGAATTCTCACTTTTTCTTTTCTCGCTGTTTGCTGTTGGTTTGAGACAGGGACTCCCTATGCGGTCTTCCTATGTAGCTCAAACTCCAAATGCAGCCTAGGCTGGCTTCCAACTCATGATTATCCTAAGTGCTAGACAAGAAACATGTACAAGCAAGACCAATGAGCCTGGCAACATACAACAAGCTTTAAATTTATTATCTATCCAAAATAGGGCAAAGGAAATGGGGTAAAAGCTGAGTGTGGTGGCTTACACACCCAAGGAGGAGAGCAGAAGCTCGAGGCCAGAATCTATATACAGCAAGACCGTGTGTCAAGAGAAAAATGGGCTGATGAAATGGCTCAGGCAATAAAGTACTTGTCATTCAAGCATGAAAACCAGAGTTCAATTCCCCATCACCCACATATACACACCTTTAATTCCAGCCAGAGGCAAGGGGATGCGTATGAGCCTGGTCTACAGACCTAGTTCCAGGTCAGGCGGGACTATACAGAGAAAACAGGAAGGGGAGGGGAGGGGAGGGGAGGGGATGGAGGGGAGGGGCACCCACCCACACAGGTGTGCACACACTGGAACGTGGACATGTGCATATAACACACACACACACACACACACACAAAGAGGTAGATCGCTATATATTAACAGAACTACATTGACATGGTATATTTAAAAAGAACGCAAGTTAAACAAAAACACATAAGCTATAATCCCTATTCTGCTGATATTTGGGATACAACGCAGCCGCCCCTACAGTACAGTACTCCATCTACTAAGCATTATGAAGTATAAAGCAACCTCAAAGCACAGGAGGCATCTCTCTGAAATTCTTCATCTGCTAGATAGCTAAAAGGTAGCCCATTACTTTCTCTACCTGCCCTGCTTTCTCACTGTTAGAAACACAAGTGAAACCACAGTGTGTGACTTGGAATAATGTAGTGCTTGTTGGACAGGAGCCAGCCACAAGCAGCTCAGAAGCCAATCCCAAAGCAGGCTTTGATATGCTAATGAACTAGCCACAAGGTGGCATTGATAGGCTAATGAACCAGCCCTCAGCTGTGAACCCTGATAACGTAAAACTAATGTCCAATTTCTTGGACAATACAAAAAACCTGGAAATTTGGAGGTGACTTTGATGCACCACAGTGCTCCTGAGACATGACAATTCAGGCTTTGCGATGACACCCATCCCCAAGGGAACTTTGACACTACCACTGTATAACTGACTTCCGAGGCTGAAGCAGGAAGATTACAGCAAATCAAGGCCAGTCTCTGACAAAGGTAAAATTCTGGCAGACAAAACGGTAGCGATCAAGCCACAGCCTGCTCTAAATTACTATATATTGTATAAAGTTGTTTTGCAGGCTGCACATTCCCCTGCAAGACTCCATTTTATAAGCAGCTTTTAATACAATCTTGAAAGTGTAAAAAACTAAACTCCTGATAGCCCTGTGCTCAAGCCCCACAAAAAAATAAACAAACAAATAAAATAAGGATTCGTATGAAAGACAAGAGAAGATAGTACACACAAAACAAAATAGAGGGTGTGTTGGGTTTGGTGGCACATACAACAGCCCTAGCTGGGTTATTTACTTAGTTTTAACTCTCAGTAATATATGCTGCCTCTCAATAGTGGTAAAACCGATATGGCCCTGTACAGACTGTCTTCAGGTTCCTCTTCCCCCATCTCCTGAAGGTATAGTCACAGTTTTGCTGTGTTTCTCACGGCAAATCCTTGCTGTCCCTCCTTAGACGACTAAGAAAACTTTGTAAGACATGTTCTCCAAGTAGTCTTTCAAGAATTTTTTTCCCCCTAGCACGTGGTTTGGACTTATCCACTTATTTAATCTGTTTTTGCAAGGGCCCGTGTGGCAAAAATGAAATTATAATTTGCAAGGGTCTCTCCGACCACCAAGGCCACCAACTGCCAATCTATGGAAGATCAGAAAGCCGTTGAGTTCAACGTGTCTTAGCCAGTGTTGATTCAAACTTCCAGTTTATTTTAGGCATTTATAAACACAGCACAATTTGGAAAAAAGTTTCCTGGAGATAATTAACTCAATCTCGAGTGCACAGCAAAGCTTAAGTCCTGATTGCATGGAAACTCTATGTAAGGTACAAGAGACATCCTCCATAAAGATAGGTTCTGAAGGTTAACTGAGAAGTTAACTGACAATAAGGGTCTGGGGGAGATAGAGTTATAGATTGACTGAGGCAAACAAGCTCAAGATAAGGGATTGGAGAAGGGTCTGGTATGGTCTCAGGGCAAAGGTCACCACCCATCAGGCTATTAACCACCTTTGGTCCCAGTCTTCTGGGTGGAAAACATTTCTTACTTTGAAGAGACAACTCTGTGTGTTTAACATTTTTGTCCCCTGGTGCTTATCAGTGAGCACAAGGACTTACGTGCCTCCCACAATAATACTACTTAAGTTCTGCTTTTAAACTAATTTAATTTTCTTTGCATGAGGCCTCAAACTTGTGCTCTCCCTTTCTCAGTCCCAAGGGGCTTGATTACAGGTGTGTACCGCTGCTTCCAGCTTCAATTTTTCTTTTTAAACATTGGTCTCAGTATGTGGCCTGGGCAGGCCCTGAAGTCAAAACTTCTGCTCTTTACCCTCCCCCAGACATCTTACCAGCCCTAAAGTTTACTTTTTACATATTTTTAAGTTGTGCCTTGGGCAGAGAGCACATCTCAGTGACAAAATGCTTTCCTAGCATGTCCCAAGCACTGGGGTAGGGAAGGAATCACACACATCGCTAAAAGCCATGTGATTAAGAACTACAAGTTCATGTGAATGTCACCTGACTACTGCCTCTCTCCATGCAAGCCTCATATGAACCAGAGAATGTGATGCTCACACACAACAGAGAATGTGATGCTCCAGTCTCTTGAAGAGTGCTGGGTAACTCCTCCAAGCATACACATGAGCCAGAAAGGGTGAACAGGAGAGGCCAATATCCGAATGATAACAGGCCTTTTCGCAACCAGACTGATTCCAGAACAAAGCTTAATAAATACATTTGCTTGCAGCCACAGCAGAAATCCCAATAGTCTCCACACACACACACAAGTCCTGTTAAAAGCTTATCCACACAACAAAAAGCAAATAGTTCAGGGAGAATTGTCTTCAATAGTGTCTTTACAACAGATGTATTTTATCTCCCTCCTGACTGAAAAAAATAACCTGACACACCTCCAAAATCATGAAAACTATCCAATTTATCAACCTAAATCTTCATCAAAGGGCCTTAAACACAAAGGATGGACTCCTAAGTTCTTAATTTTCTTACTTCCTTTTCTTTTCTTTTTTTAATTTTTCAAGACAGGGAGGGTCCCTCTGTGTAGCCCTGGCTGTACTGAAATTCTATTTGTAGACCAGGCTGGCCTTAAACTCACAGAGATCCACCTGCCTCTGACTCCCTAATCCGAGGATAACAGGCATGTACCATCACCTCCCAGCTTAGTTCTTAATTCTCAATGAGAAATTTTCTATGGGGAAAATATATAATAAATGGATTAATATCTGATTCCTTATAGTTGTGTTTAACGTTATATAAGGAAAATGTCACAATAAGAGAAATATTCCTCAATCAACCATTGACAGACTTTAAACAATTTGTTCCAATCCAAATGTCCTTCAAAGTTTATCCATAAAGTCAAAATCCCTTTGAAGGAGCTAGAGATGAAGCTCTGTTATAAAGCATATGCCTAGCATATGTAAGTCCATGTGAGCCCCTGGGCCCAATCCCCAGAACAGAACAAATGGAAACATAAATAAAGTGCCATACTCAACTCGTAACCCCAAACTCAGTCTGTAATATCTCTAAATGGAGGGATGGCTCAGTGGTTACCAGCACGCACTATTCTCCCAGAGGATCCAAGTATGTTTCCCAGTGTCCTAATCATCAGCAGCTCCAGAGATCTAAACCCTCCTCCACAGGTGCCTGGCACTCATATGCACATACCCACAGAGTCACACAGCATACACATAATTAGAAATAATGAAGTCAAGGCTAAAGAGATAAGTCAGCAGTTAAGAGCACTGGCTGCTCTTCCAAAGGTCCTGAGTTCTATTCCCAGCACCCACATAGCAGCTCACAGCCATCTATAACTCTTTCCTAGGAATCCAAAGCCCTCTTCTTCTATCTAGTCTCTATGCACACCAAGCACACACATGGCACACAGATGTGCACAAAGCAAAACATTCATAGCCATAAAATAATAAAAGGGACAGAAGTGAATATTTAAAAACAAAGGAAGGAAGGTAAAAGTTCAGTCAAGGGTTAATAAAATGGTCAGTGGGTAAGAGCACTTGTTTGCCTTGGAAGCCTGATGACCTGAGTTCAATTCTTGGAACCTACTTGGTAGGAGAGAACTGACTACCCAAGTTATCCACTGGTGTGTGTGTGTGTGTTTTTAAAGCCAAGTATGACAACACACACCTGCAATCCTAACACCTGGAAAACAGAGGCTGCTTGGTCAGGGACTCAAGGCCAGTCTTGTCTACATACAGTGTTCTAGGCCAGCCTGAGCTACATGGAACCATATCAACATGTTTCTCCGCCCCCCCCCACCCTCCCCAATGCCCCCAAATTCTACAGACACATGTTTCCTAGCTTTGATTCTGGAAGGGCAAAAAGCTATATCAACAAATACACCTAGTATCAAAAACCTTGCTTGTTAAATATCATTTTCTACTAAAATGGAAGTAGAGCCTTTAGCTGCTTTTAAGAGATAGGCTAGGAGCTAGCAAGATAGCTCAGTGGGTAAAAGTATTTGCCATGGAGTCCGAAAGTCAGAGTTCAATGTCTAACACCTACACAGGAGAAAGAGCACCAGATCTCAAAGCTGTCTTCTGACCTCCACATGTTGTGTACACACACACACACACACACACACACACACACACACACACACACACACACGAATGTATACACTCACATGAACACACATACACACACTCATATATACACACATATACATACATACACACACACATACACTGATAGCAGTGTTACAATTCACTGACTAAAACAAGTTTTGTGAATTAATTAGTAAATAAATAAGGAAAAAGGAGAAGTTCTCCCTTTATCAGAATGCCAACTGATAAATATAAATGGACTTACAAAGTCTATCTTTGGCAGAAAATCACATTAATAAATTTCAGGCAAGGATCAGGTTCTAGCTGGAGCGTTTGTCTAGCATGTACAAAGATTTTGGACCAATTCCCAGCACTGCAATTAATAAGAATGTCAATACTTTCAAAGGAACTTTCCAAGGTTACTTATTAATCACAGTGTAGAAACTATTTTAGATGGAACAAAAGAAACCTGCACACATCTTTTACACAAATCAAAGTAACATCACCAGTAATGGGATACACTGACAACATGTATCTTGGCTGCCCTGCCCCGAAATGTATAAGCTGAACCAAATCATGAAGCAACATCAAACAAATCTATGTTAGAAACAGTCAAAGTTGAAAACTCAGCCTAAGTGACCTGCACAGTGGGTAGCGCTATGAGCACCTAACTGGCTCTCCAAAAGCAGAAGACCCCAGCCCTATAAGCAGGTTCGGTGAAAAACAAAACAAACCAACCTTGTCCCAAAAATAAGGTGGAAAAGCTGGGGTGTGGCGGTGTGCACCTTTGATCCCAGCACTCAGAAGCAAAGACGGGCATAAGCCAACTTTGTCTATGCATCAAGTTCCAGGGCAGCCATGATTACAAAGTGAAAGCCTGTCTCAAAACGAGACAAAATTTAAAAAGAAGGAAAACTAAAGGCAAGCACATAATCTTGAACTAACAGGGAAAAGGCTTTTACTATAAACATTATTTTAATCCATTCAGGTTGTCTCAACAAAATACCACAAACAGGCTAGCTTATGCACAACTAAAGTTTATTTCCTACTACCCTGGAGACCAGAGATTCCAAAACCAAGTATTAAGTATCTGGTAAAGGCACACTTTCAGAAACTTGTATAGACAGCAGTGTCCTTTGTCTTCACATGGTGGAAGAGACAAAGGCACTCTATAGAGCCTATTTTTATTGCTTTTAGATTTACTTTACTTATATGTCTGCATACACACACACACACACACCATGTGCATATCCAGTGCCTGTGGAAGTCAGAGAAAGCATCAAATTCCCTGGAATTGGAAGTACTGGCAGCTGGGTGCTGGGAATTGAACCTGGGTCCTTTGGAGGAGCAGCTTCTGAGTCATCTCTCCAGACCCCAGGGCCTATTCTAAAGCACATAAGCACATTCATTATGCTCTAAAGTTTAAACTTTAGACCAAAACACACACCAAAAATTTGAGGGTGAGTAGAGCAGCTTATTTTCAACAAGTTCAGAAAAAATACACATCAAAGAACTAATACAAAAGTAAATTTCATGAATATTGATGTCAGTCTTGAATATTTAGGGAAGTGAGGATCTTGCTATATGGCTTAGGCAGACCCAAAACTCTCCTCAACCTCCAAAGAGCTGGTATTATAAGAGTGTATCACCGTGTCTGACCCAAATAATCTGAAAATATGAATATTAAAAAGCTTAAACTTAAAAATACAACAAAAATCACATTTTAACTATTAAACTATCGAATATCAAAAAGCATAAGTACATACTTCTAATACAGCTGAACATCAAAAAACAATACATACATTGTCCAATGTGCTAATGACTGCACAGACACATACTAACCTCTGCAAAGGCCAGCTGACCATTACCTCCCAGAATAATGAGTACACATGCTCTGTGACCATCACCTACTCCAAGGTATTATACACACACACACACACACACATGCACGCGCACGAGCGTGTGTGTGTGTGTGTGTGTGTGTGTGTGTGTGTGTGTGTGTACTCATTTTTAGCTTTATTTATACCAAAAGACCTATATGTCTTAGTTAGAGTTTCTATTGCTATGAAGAGACACCATGACCACAGCAACTCTTATAAAGGAAAACATTTCATTGGGGTGGCTCACTTACAGTTCAGTGGTTCAGTCCATTATCATGACAGTAGGACATGGTGGCGTGCAGGCAGACATGGAGAAGTAGCTGAGAGTCCTACATCTTACAGGCAACAGGAAGTGGTCTGAGACCCTAGGCAGTATCTTGAGCATATATGAGATGTCAAAGCCCACCTCCACAGTGACACACTTCCTACAAGAGCACACCTAGTCCAACAAAGCCACACCCCCTAATAGTGCAACTCCCTTTGAGGGCCATTTTCTTTCAGTCCACCACACCATACAATCTAAATATTCATTAGTAATACATTGACATGCCCATATAATGGAATCAGCTTTTTAAAAGTGTAAGATAGTTAGGCATGCTGGCATGCATCTATAATCCAGGCTGAGGCAGAGGATCATGACTTTGAGACCAGCCTAGGCTACACAGTGAAGACAAGGCCATACCTTGCTACAGAGCAAGTATCTAAGGGCTGGGGAAACAGCTCAGAGACAGAATGCTTACCTTTCACTCTGGCTTCAATCTCTAGCACCACTGGGTTGAGGAATAAATTAGTTCTAAATGCACTAAAAAAGACTTCAAAGGATGGGCCAGGTGTTGGTGGCTCACACCTTTAATCCCATCATTTGGGGAGCAGAGGCTGGCAGATTTCTGTGAGTTCAAGGCCAGCCTGGTCTACAAAGGTACACAGAGAAATCCTATCTCAAAAAAAAAAGAGAGAGAGAGAGACTTCAAAATGAACTATTATGAATGAACTTCCTAGGAAAAAGCTGCATCTTCAAAATGAAGCTTCTGCAAGGCTGATTAGCAGAATAGAACTTCAGTGACTGCAAAGTCTAGTTACAATTTATTTTAGGATTTTTTGATTTGGCTTGTTTGTTTTCCTTGTTTTTGCTTTTTTGAGACCAGGTCTTTCCACATAGCCCTGTCTGTGTATAGTCCATACTAACCTCAAACTCACAGAGACCTGCCTGCCTCGGCTCTTGAGCACTGAGATTAAAGACACTACCATGCCCAGCTCCTTGGGCTATCTTTAACCTCCTCTGTGTAGGGCCCAACATCCTCAGACTAACCAATCAAAACTTTTTAGTATGTATTAACTTCACAAAAGCCTAGTTTTCACAAACCAAAAGGCAAAGAATCTTCAGATAGCATAAGGCCTATAGTGAGATTTCTCCACTCTGCTGTAGTAACTGCCTACTTAAAGTTTCCATCAATGTATTAAAGTTCCTAGATTTATGACTTCCTTTGTTCTGTTACTATAAAAACTTCATGAAACCTGAGCTGGGTGGTGGCGGTGGTCCATGCCTTTAATCCCAGTATTCTAGAAGCAGGAGCAGATAGATCTCTGTGAGTCTGAGGTCAGCCTGGTCTACAGAACCAGTTCCAGTACAACCAAAACCATTATTACAGAGAAACCCTGTCTGGGGGCAGTGGGAAACTTCATGAAACTGCTTCCACATTGGAGTATAGAA